GGCTTACGAACGCAGAAAGTCGGCGTCGAGTGCGGGGATTTCGACTCCCGCACCATGCCTGCCTTCGCTTTCGCGGCGAAGAAGGCATCAATGACCTCGCACTGTTCGCGCGGGAGAGGCCATTGCCTCGTGACACAATACTTTGTGCCGGGCACGAGATCAATCTCGTGCCGTACGCCTCGATCCGGTGGGAGTTGGGTCGGTGGGTGTTTATTCACCACGTCCGCATACTCCGTCACCAAAGGATACACCGGATCCTTGGGGTTCTTGAGAATCTCAGAACCCAAGCGCGCCTGACGCTGCTTGTTCATGTCTTCCAGGACGTTCTCGTCCAAGACAGAGGAGGAGTTCAGCTCCTCCTGAGTGGTCTCAGGTCTCATGAGTACCATCTCAGCGATCTCTCCAGCCTTGAGGTTGGCCAGGAAAGACTCAGCCGTCATTTCCTCGAGGTTCAGTATCTCTGCAACCTCTGGCAACGGTTCCAAGTGGACACCAGATGCCTTGACGGGTAAACCCGTCTCGCTATCGAAGATGTGATAACACTCTTCCACCGGCCTTGTCGGAGGAGCCCGGGCCCTGGACTCCGAGTCGCTTGAAGCGACGTCGATCGGAACAAAGTTCGGATCCGACTTGAGGCGGCGGCGGCGTCTTTGCCGACGGCTTCTGTGACGGGGAGCTTTGCTGCCCACGTCTAGGGATGTCGTCGCTACGACATCCGAGGCACTCGTGGCCTCGTGTGGTACTGTTGTACCCACACAGGAAGCGTGTTCCACGCCTTCCTCTTCAGTTAAGGTCTGGGCGACCGCGTGTGGCACTGTGTTACCCACACAGGAAGCGTATCCGACGTCTTCCTCTTCAGTTATGGTCTGGGCGACCGTGTGTGGCACTGTGTTACCCACACAGGAAGCGTATCCGACGTCTTCCTCTTCAGTTATGGTCTGGGCGACCGTGAGTGGAACTCTGTTACCCACTCTGAACACGCTGTTCTCAGTGTTCATGACAGCTGCAGCTGTCTGCGGAACTAAGTTACCCGCCTGTGGACCTAAGTTACCCACTTGGCCGGCGCCTCTTCTGGGCGCGGCCACCATCAAAACATCCTCGGAGTCGTCAT